AGGGAATTATCTAGAATTTAAGGTAACCCAGTGTCATGACCCACCATTAGACAGCTAGGAGCTTGGGTTTGGGTTCTAAAACCAGCTGTTGCCAAGAAAGCAAATCCAACACAACAAACACTTTACTCCTGCACTAGGAAAGGACTCAGTAGAACCAATAGGAATGTTCTACAATTTTCTGGAATATGCACTGCTTGCTGCCCTCAACAGACCGGGGTGGTCCGAATACACTAGATACAAATGGAGAAACAGAAAAAGGGCACAGACCTAGTGCATTATCGTTTAAAATAATTTATTAAAGAAACAAAAATAGGTATCATACTCACAATGGACATAATAACACAGGCATGTCAAACTGAACAAGGTGTATGATCCAAACAACATCTGAGTCCAACCTGCTCTTGGCTCTGAGGAAGAGGTTGTGTCCTCGAAACGCGTTAGCCAGTTGGTCATCCAGGGTTCCATCATATGGATTAAGATGTTGTTTGGATCATACACCTTGTTCAGTTTGACATGCCTGTGTTATTATGTCCATTGTGAGTATGATACCTATTTTTGTTTCTTTAATAAATTATTTTAAACGATAATGCACTAGGTCTGTGCCCTTTTTCTGTTTCTCCATTTGCCAAGAAAGCAAACCTGAGAACCATGCACCAGCCACCAAACTAAATCCATATTGAAGATTACCCGGTGAAGACTGAGCCCTTCTTGGGTACCTGCTTTGGGAAGGTGGCCACACAACCAAATGTCTGTTGCTCAAAGCCGAAGGGTCTCCAACCTCTCAGCTTTCATCCTGAAGCCGCCTGTTGCTCATGTGAAATTTTTTTTTTCCCACACTAATATCTTTGGTGATCCAAATTACAACAAAACATCAAGCAAAATCTTGACAGCTCTGACTAGAGATCCATTAGGTTTACTATTGCTGCTGTTGTAGTGCCATGTTTTGGAAAGCTGTATTGTAACTTGTCAGGACTGATAATGAGATACAAATCTTTGTACAGCCTTCTTTATAGACTTAATCTCCAGGAGAGGTCTTATCTATTTTTTCCTCACCAGCACCACACCTATTGGCTTGCAGCTGTTCATGCAAGACCTTCATAAGTTGATTAATAATAGATAATATTCAGGTGTAGGTGTTAACGTGATGAATAGCTTCTGCTTTGTGTCCTGCAACAGCTGTTGTACATGAGTCACAGTATACAATATTACAATATAATATCCATGATTATGGAAGGTGACTGATAGGCAATGACTTTTTCACCTCACACTCTTGCTGCGCATGGGAAAACTGCTGCTTCATAGCAAGGATTGCTAAAAAATAGTTATTGATAACCTCTATCAGATAAAAGATGTAAGTTATGCTCGGGGCTGGTTTCTATCAAGAGTGTTGAGAAATACCCAGCATTATTGTAGACAAATGAAAAGGGGGCTTGCACTTCAAGCTAGGTCCACCTATTTATTGCCATTCTCCATCCCAAAATGCTGCATTATATTATCGAAAAAAATAATAATCCTATAAGGGAAAAAGGTATATGCTAATTATAAAAAAAAATAGGAACTACATTCCTTTGTCCCTGACATTTGCCCTTTATGTAGCTTTTGAGGGGTAGAAGGCTAAGTATATATTGTTGATCCTGCCAGTCCCCTACTGTACAAAGCAGAGGCGGACTAACAACTCATGGGGCCCCCGGGCACTAGGGGATCATGGGGCCCCTGTGTCCTCGTCCACACTCAAACCACACCCAAAAAAGCCTATGAAAAGGTACCAGGGGCATCTCATGGGGCCGCTTACTGACCCCCAGCCCTTGGGCAGTGCCCAACTTTCCGAATGGTCAGTCCGCCCCTGGTACGAAGTCCTTATTTGCTCCTACACAGGCAGATCAAAGAGGCAGATCAATGCTAGCATGGTCAGTTTGCATCTCTATCCCGTAATCAGCCTATGACGTCATAAGCTGGCACGCCCCCACTTGGCCCTGTCCTTCTTGATTGACTTCTGGGAGGATCAGCTGTCAGAAGAGCAAGTGTATATCAGGGGCGGACTGACAACTCATGGGGCCCCCGGGCAATAGGGGATCATGGGGCCCCTGTGTCCTTGCCCAAACTCAAAAAAGCCTATGAAAAAAGGTACCAGGGGCATCTCATGGGGCCCCCTACTGACCCTGGGCCCTCGGGCAGTGCCCGAGTTTCCAAATGGTCAGTCCGCCCCTGGTGTATATTCAAAAGAGAAGTCTCTGCCTCCAGAGCATGGAGACAAGGTAGTATATATTCTACTCATTCACAAATAAAAGAGTTGTACCTAGCAGGGCATTTTAGTGCAGGAACTCCCCCCCTGTGAGTCACTTATTGTCTCCGCCTCTTACCCACCACCAAGCACCATCACTTGATTCCACCCCTTACCCACTTCCCAGTACCTCTCCTTTTAGAGAATACAGACCCAAGTATTTTATGGTGCTAAATAATTTGCATGAAATTTGTTAATGATAACAAGAAAAGCAAAAAAATAGATCCCCCGCAGCCAGCAGCAATAGACCCCTCCCCCACAGCAACAATAAATTCCTCCAGCAACAATGGGCTCCCAAAACAAAATACCGTCCCAGAAACAATAGACCCCCAGCAACTACAACAGATTTCCCAGCAGCCAGCATCAATATATTCTCCAGCAGCCAGCAACAATAGACGATTGACCCCTTGTTCAACAGTAAATCCCTTCCAGCAACAATAGACCTCCCCAGCAACAATAGACCACCATACAAAAATATATTCCATTTATTGATAGAAAATCCCCCAGCACCCAGCAACTACAGATCCTCCAGCACACCCCAGCACCCCTAGTCATTACATACATTAACTGATGCAGGTGCCGAAACTGCACTCCCCCATGTTCCCGCTGAAAAAAAGCCCTGGTACCTAGAATCAAAGACACCTACGCCTTTATTTAAAAAAAATTCAAACAAATCCCTTATTGTCAATCAATCAAAATGCCCGAGAACTTGCTGAAGAAAAAAAAAAACACCCAATGACCCGGTGCACATAATTGTTCCTGACAATGCTCATTGCCCAATGACAGCTGCCCGAGCTGTCATCAGCTGTATAAGGGAAGGGGGGAGATGGTAGTAACATCCTTGATTAAGTAAATTTCATTGCCAAAATATGACCAGCAGCCATATTTGTTCAGAAATGTCACTGCTATCCTTACCCTTTTGCTTTGAGCAGAGTTCCACCTGAAAAAAAAAAAGTCATCAGCTACAAAAACTGTAGCGGCTGACTTTTAAAATACAGACTCTTACCTGTCCCTCAGTCCAGCAGTGTCCTCACCACCTCTGGTTTCACCGGCGGTCTTCTCTCCCTGGCGCCAGTATCTTCAGTGTGGGCACCCGGCTGTGACAGCTTGCGGCTTCCCAGCCGGGTGCCCGCTGCGCATGCGCGAGAAGCGCTGTGTTTTGTGAATGGCCCCGTAGTCTTCTGGGACCTGTCATGTGTCCCAGAAGACTACGGGGAGGGAGGGAGGATAACTTCCACTTCCGATCGCCTAGGTGATCGCAGCAGACGTGGGAGTGGGTACCTGTCAAATTTGGGTACCCGCTCCTCAAAGGTGCCAATCCTTAATTGGGAGCGGGGGACAAAGGCTTGAAGCAGAACTTCCCCTTTCAGGTGGTGGGGATTGCTGGTGGTTCTTAGGGTGCAAGCATCCACAGCTCCCTTTTCCTTAGGAACCAGTGATAGTGGGAAGCTGTCATATATAGCAGCAGCAGAAATAGCACTTCTATATGTGTTTTTTGGCTCCTGCCAAACACGGGACCGAATGTGCGAACGTCTGGGCATTTGTCCGAACAACCAAAGGGCCGAACCTAGCATTAAACTGAGCCATCAGCTCAAAAAAAAGAAACATTTTACATTTCTCAACCTTTAGCTTCAAACTTTAGGAGCACGGGTGGACTGACCATTTGGAAACTCGGGCACTCCCCAAGGGCCCGTGGTCTGTAGGGGGCCCCATGAGATGCCCCTGGTACCTTTTTCATAGGCTTTTTTGAGTTTGGGCAAGGACACAGGGGCCCCATGATCCCCTATTGCCCGGGGGCCCCATGAGTTGTCAGTCTGCCCCTGTTTAGGAATATGTATAAGAAGACTCTCATAAAGCTAACCATGAATGACAGTTTGCTAAAATCAGTCTGTAGATGCAGTAAAGCATGCTTGTTATACTCACTGTGGAACCTAAGGGGTTCATCCTCTGCATTGTGTAAACAGGCTGTTTGATCCTGTCTTCTCTATCCCTCCTCTTGTTGAAATGACCACCTGATGCAGACTGAACCAGTGGTCACATGCACATGCACATGCTCAGTTCAGTTTGTATTTCCAGAGAGGTTTCTTTTTCTTGGGACGGTGCATGTGATCAGCACAGGGCCAATCAGCACTGTCCAGACAGAGATCAGATGTTCTGCATCCTCCTAGAGCAGAAAGAAAACTCCTCCTACAAACTTTAACGAGTGCTCTGCTAGACACTTATAGAAGTAACAGGAATGCTATATACTGCTGATGATAAAAGGTATTTAGCAGTTTATATTTACTAAAATAATTGCATTTCCATGTTTTGTGTACTGTGGGAGACCAGATATAGTGAATGCAGGGTCCGGGGAGACCAGATATAGTGAATGCAGGGTCCGGGGACACCAGATATAGTGAATGCAGGGTCCGGGGAGACCAGATATAGTGAATGCAGGGTCCGGGGAGACCGGATATAGTGAATGCAGGGTCCGGGGAGACCAGATATAGTGAATGCAGGGTCCGGGGAGACAGGATATAGTGAATGCAGGGTCCTGGGAGACCGGATATAGTGAATGCAGGGTCCGGGGAGAGGAGATATAGTGAATGCAGGGTCCGGGGAGAGGAGATATAGTGAATGCAGGGTCCGGGGAGATCAGATATATAGTGAATGCAGGGTCCGCTCCGGGAAGACCGGATATAGTGAATGCAGGGTCAGGGGACACTGGACATAATGAATGCAGGGTCCAGGGAGAGCGGATATAGTGAATGCAGGGTCGGGGGGACACTGGACATAATGAATGCAGGGTCCATGGAGAGCGGATATAGTGAATGCAGGGTCCGGGGAGACCAGATATAGTGAATGCAGGGTCCGGGGGGACCGGATATAGTGTATGCAGAGTCCAGGAAGAGTGGATATAGTGAATGCAGGATACTGGGAGACCAGATATAGTGAATGCAGGGTCCGGGAAGACCAGTTATTTTGAATTCAGGGTCCAGGAGACCAGATATAGTGAATTCAGGGTCCTGGGTTTTTGTTTTTGTGTGTTGAGTAACAGCACAGGAGATCAATTAGGAGACAGAGGACAGAGCATTGTCACCCCATAACAGGAAGTGTCTGAACAAGGACCCTCATGTCAGGATCACCGATGATTATTTTAAATAAAAATTTGAGATTGAAATGGATTCAAATGATGTTTAAAGTTGGACTAACATGTTAAACATTATATGTAGTTTTAGTAATCTGGTCTACTGTAGGACCAATCCCGACAAACTCATATTTTTTCAACCTGATTACATAACTGGGAGGTCCTTCTGGAAAGACTAGAGATGTGCCCATAAATGTGTCTGCAAACTATTTGCTTCACAGCACAAAAAAAAAAAAAAAACCACACACCCTGTAGGAACTGTTGAATGAATGCATACGTACTAGTTTCATGGTTGGAGTATCACGTGAAAATATCCTTGGCAAAGGCTTCTATTGTTTAGAACATTGCCGGAAGTCTCAAGGAGTTCCCTCAGTTTTAATGTTAATTAAATGCCAAAAATGAAAAAGCAGAAATAAAATGCTGTGGGAAAACGAACTCCGTTTTGGAACCCGACCCAGATCTAGAAGTTTAGGGTGTTAGCTGTGAGTCGTGTCCTCTCATTATCTACATGGGAAGAGCATCAAAGGAGGCAGGGAGGAATGTGCTGAATGGCATCTCGGGATAGAAAAGCCAAGATGAGTACTGCCAAGCATTGTATGCTAAATACCCTGAGGCAGGAAGGGTGATCCTGAACTTGGGAAGGCGTGCCACCAGCCAGGTGTGGCCGTGACACAAATTGGCATGAGGGACGCCATGTTTTTCAGCACACCTGTAAATATGTAAAGAATGATGTTCCTAATTAGCTTTCATTAGCCAAAGGCAAAGTCAGCTTGCTCATTGCTCTGCTAGACAGACGGCTGCTGGAAAGTCAGCGTCCTCATTAAAACAATTAAAAAAGAAAATGGAATGAAGTCATTAGCTGGCCTTACTGAAAGGTGGTTACAGACACACGGGACAGATGATCCATCTAAGTGTTTTGTAAGACAGCAGCTAGATTTAGTTGATGATACTTTTGGTAAATGGTCCATTCTGTCCACTCTTCCTACTGCCATGACTATGTTGAAATCTTTCTGGTGCACTTCAAGCCTTGGGACCTTACTCTTTCTGTTGCTCCATGTTTCAAACTGAGTACCAAAGCCACACTAGGCCCTCACCACAGGGTTGGAGGATTTGTCATAGGAGGTTCCAGCTGGAATTTTTAGAACTGCATAAACACATATGCCAAGGCCAATTTAGGCATAAACCAATGAACCTACTGTGTAACCGGGGTCTGCCTAGGAGGGTGAAAATGAGGGTTTTACAACCACAGACACATACTAGGGCCAATCTAGAAAGGAACCAATAAACCTACTGTGTTATGAAGGTCTGCCTAGGAGGGTGAAAATGAGGGTTTTACAACCACAGACACATACTAGGCCCAATCTAGACAGGAACCGATAAACCTACTGTGTTATGAAGGTCTGCCTAGGAGGGTGAAAATGAGGGTTTTACAACCACAGACACATACTAGGCCCAATCTAGACAGGAGCCAATAAACCTACTGTGTTATGAAGGTCTGCCTAGGAGGGTGAAAATGAGGGTTTTACAACCACAGACACATACTAGGGCCAATCTAGACAGGAGCCAATAAACCTACTGTGTTATGAAGGTCTGCCTAGGAGGGTGAAAATGAGGGTTTTACAACCACAGACTCATACTAGGGCCAATCTAGAAAGGAGCCAATAAACCTACTGTGTTATGAAGGTCTGCCTAGGAGGCAACATTTAGAATTTTTAGACCTACACATACATGCTAGTCCAACACAACAAACACTTTACTCCTGCGCTAGGAAAGGACTCAGTAGACCCAATAGGAATGTTCTGGAATTTTCTGGAATATGCACTGCTTGCTGCCCTCAACAGACCGAGGTGGTCCGAATACACTGCATACAAATGGAGAAACAGAAAAAGGGCGCACCGACCTAGTGCATTATCCTTTAAAATAATTTTAAATAATGTCAAACTGAACAAGATGTATGATCCACACAAAATCTGAGTCCATACGATGGAACCCTGGATGACCAACTTCCTAACGCGTTTCGAGGACACAACCTCTTCCTCAGAGCCAACTTGGTTCTTGTTGTGTGGATCATACACCTTGTTCAGTTTGACATGCCTGTGTTATTATGTCCATTGTGAGTATGATACCTATTTTTGTTTCTTTAATAAATCATTTTAAACGATAATGCACTAGGTCGGTGCGCCCTTTTTCTGTTTCTCCATTTGTATCCACATACATGCTAGTGCCAAATTAGACAGGAACCAATCAGCATGTCACTGGATTGTGGGCAGAAACCCACAAAAGGGCGGAAAGAACATGTAAACTCCATGCAGATAAAGTTCTGGCCAAAGTTCACACCAAGGATCCCGGTGCTGCAAGACATAAGACTAACGTCCAAGTAACTGTGCTGCCCTATGTAATATAAGGTCATCCCACCAAAATGTGATATTTAAGTTTTAAAGTGTATGCCCCGCCAAATATTTTTTTTTTTGTTTCACATATTTGAGGGAAACATTAGAACCTCTGTTGAGTTTCTACGGCTATGTGGGGTTCCATTAGAAAAGATGTTCCCTAACTTTTTTTCTAACAGAAAAATGCAAAGTCAGAGCCAATCTAGACAGGAGCCAATAAACCTACTGTGTTATGAATGTCTGCCTAGGAGGCAACATTTAGAATTTTTAGACCTACACATACATGCAAGTGCCAAATTATACAGGAACCAATTAGCATGTCACTGGATTGTGGGCAGAAACCCACAAAAGGGCGGAGAGATCATGTAAACTCCATGCAGATAAAGTTCTGGCCAAGGTTCACACCAAGGATCCCGGTGCTGCAAGACATAAGACTAACGTCCAAGTAACTGTGCTGCCCTATGTAATATAAGGTCATCCCACCAAAATGTGATATTTAAGTTTTAAAGTGTATGCCCAGCCAAATATTTTTTTTTTAATTTATACACAGCAACAAATCACCTTGTAATATCCCAGAAAAGTTATCACCTCCACCCTTGAAGGTTAATTAAAACAAAAATATAAAACTTTTCCCTTTCACAAATAAGTGACAAAATAATAAACAAAAATAATAAAACATACAAAATGAAAAAATAATCCAAAATGTCAAAATATCCCAAATACAAAATACAAAAAATAATCCTAAAAAAATCCAAAATCCAAAATAATATCCAAAATTCAAAAATAATCCCCACAGGTGTAAATAATTTTCTTTCTTCTTTCAAAAGCTCCTTCTCAATACCCGCAAATCCTGATGACAGTACACCTCAAAAAGAAAAAACTCAACATAGTGTCATATACCTTTTAAATAATAAATCACACGTGCCACTCACTGTGCAGCATGCAAATTCTATGTCTGTGTATACTCTGTACAGGAGTATCAAAACACATGCATATATTATAGTGAATAAATATACTCTCACAAACAAGTGTCTTAAGCTCAAAATGTAAAAACAACTCCAAAAAAAACACTGCAAGTGTGTATCACCACACCCTGTATACATCAGTGATCAGTGAAACGACACTCTCCAAAACATATACTGATGGGTAATTACCCTATATAAGAAATATCAAGGCATAGCACCACTCAGGGTTATATATCTCCTCATCACGATTTCATCCAATGTTAGGGTTTTTCTTCCATTATCCTCAAGTAAATCCACAATCCCAGATACTGTATAAAATATCCTCCTTTATTTGGTAACTCACATACACATTTCAGTGAAAACAGCTCCTCCTCACAGGGAATCCAAGTGTAGACAGAATCAGGGAAACATTGGCCACATGTTCCCACTTCCAAGATGGCCGCGATCGCACTTCCGGTCAGCGTCGATACGTCTGACGTCACGTGTCCTGACGCGTTTCGTCACTTCCTATGACTTTTTCAAAAGGGTCAAGGGTCCTTTTGAAAAAGTCATAGGATACATACATACAATCTAAGGTCCCTAACTCACATTCACGGGACAATTTAGACAGGATCTAATTCACCTATCAGCATGTCTTTGGAGTGTGGGAGGAAACCAAAGCACCCGGAGGAAACCCATGCAGGCACAGGGAGAACATGCAAACTCCAGGCAGGTGGTGCCGTGGTTGGGATTCGAACCAACAACTCTAGTACTGCCAGGTGGAAGTGCTAACCACTTAGCCACTGTGCCGCCCCATTCAAACGGTACAATTCCTTTCATGAGACATTTCACTATGATAACCGCCGTCAACACACCACACTCACCAGAGACTGTGGCTGCTCACATTACAGGCAGCACATACGCACGTTCATTTCTGATCCTCTAGCACAGTCTCCTTTAAGACAGATTGCCCTTTGGTGATGACATCAATTGGAGAAAAGGAGAGACCCCCTGACACTGGGACTTTAAGGGCTTAGAAAGTACTGAAAGTATTAAAAAAAGCATACATTTTATTGTCAAAAAAAAAAGACATACAATACATCACACAGAGTCATAATAAAGCATCACAATCAGAAAATGAAATTACATGATAAGGATTGTAAGCTCCACGAGCCGGGCTCTCCTATTGCTTCTGTACTGAAATGTATTGTAATTGTACTGTCTCCCTTATATTGTAAGGGCGTTATATAAATCCTGTATAATAATAATAATAAGGATACCCAATATGACTGTGTTTGACTGGTCATAAAAGATACAAATTGGTATCATCATAGATGTAATAAAGCTGCAGAGATACTAATCTAATTGTTCCAATGCGTTTCAGAGCGATTCCACTCCTTCCTCAGGGAAAAGAGAAGAACTCTGCATATGGGTGACATCATCTTTATACATATTTGTTTGGAACATGTCTCTCATATCCGTAACAACATATAATACCTTGTAATCTGTAGATATACTTACAGTATATGAAGATGCAAAATAGATAATTGGTTAAAAGACATAAATGTTTCAGAAATGTCGCCTTATAAAACTGGGGGCCAAATGAACCGGTACAGCAGAACCCCCCACATCAGACAAGTGGGCC